ACTAAAAAAGAAGAACAAAGTAGGAGACTTCACACTCCCCAATCTCAAAACCTACTATACAACCACAATAGTCGAAACAGCCTGGTATTTGTACAACAGACACGTAGACAAATGGAACAGACTTGAGAACCCAGAAGTAAATCCATCCACCTATGGACAACTGATCTTTGACAAAGGGCCAAAACCCATTAAATGAGGAAGAGATAGTCTCTTTAACAAATGGTGCTGACAAAGCTGGCTATCCATTTGCAGAAAAATAAAACAGTATTCATATTTCATACTATACAGAAAAGCTAACACAAGATGGATCAAAGGCTTAAATGTAAAACCTAAAAGTATAAAGATCATCAAATTAAAAATATGGGCAAACTTAAGAACCCTAATACATGGCATAAATACACTATCAAATATAACTGAAAACACACAAACAGCAGAAGAAAAACTGTATGACTGGGACCTCTTTAACATTAAACATTTATGTGCATCAGGAGATGCCACGAAGAGTAAAAGGAGAACCCACAGATTTGGAAAAATGTTTGTCAACAACATATTGAACAAGGGATTAATCTCTAAAATTTATTAAAAAAAAAAAGTCAACACTTCAACAACAACAACAACAACAAAAACACAATTGAAAAATAGGCAGAGGACATGAACAGACATCACAAAAAAAACCATGACCATTAAAACACCAAAAGACCAAACTCACTGCTGTCAAGTCTATTAGAGAGGTGCAAATCAAAACAACGAGATAGCATCTCACCTCAGCATTAATAGCAAAGTTCAAAAAAAAAAAAAAAAAAAAAACCAGAAAACAACAAAGGCTGATGGGGGTGTGGAGTTACTGGAACCCTCAAACACTGCTGGTGAGTCTGTAAAATGGTGCAACCTGTGGACAATGGTATGATTATTCTTTTAAAAGTTAGAAATACTACATGAACCAGCAATCTCACTACTACATATATATACTACAGATAAAATAGTCATGATATGAATAGGTATGTGCACACTCATGCTTATTGCTACTAAAAATGGGAAGAAACAGCTGCAAACATCCATTAATAATTGGAATGTGGAATGTACAAAGTATGAGCATAGGAAAATTAGCAGTCAAAAATGAAATGAAATGTATAAAAATCAATATCATAGGCATCAGTGAGCTGAAATGGACTGGTTTTGGTCATTTTGAACCAGACAATCATATGGTCTACTATGCCAAGTATGACAGTTGAAGAGGAATGGTGTCACATTCATCATCAAAATGAATGTTTCAAGATCTATCCTGAAGTACAGTGTTATCAGTGATCGCATAATATCCATATACCTACAAGGAAGACCAGTTGATACTAGTATTACTCAAATTTATGCACCAACCACTAAAGCCAAAGATGAAGAAATTGAAGACTTTTACTAACTTCTGCAGTCTGAAATTGACCAAACATGCAATCAAGATACATTGATTATTACTGATAATTGGAATGTGAAAGTTGAAAACAAAGAAGAATCATTGGTAGTTAGAAAATATGGCCTTGGTGACAGAAATGACACTGGAGATTGCATGATAGATTTTTGCAAGACCAACAACTTATTCATTGCAAATACTTTATTGCAACAACATAAATGGTGGCTATACACGTGCACCTTACTAGATGGAATACACAAGAATCAGATTGACTACATCTGTGGAAAGAGGCAATGGAGAAGCTCACTATCTTCAGTCAAAACAAGGCCAGGAGCTGACTGTGGAACAGACCATCAGTTGCTCATATGCAATTTTAAATTGAAGCTGAAGAAAATTAAGACAATTCCATGAGAGCCAAAATAGGACTTTAATTATAACCCCTGTATTTAGAGACCATCTGAAGAATAGATTTGGTGTGTTGAAAACCGAAAACCAGATGAGTTGTGGGATGACATCAAGAACATCATACATGAAGAAAGCAAAAAGTCATTCAAAAGATAGGAATGGAAGAAAAGACAAGAATGGACATGAGAAGAGGCTCGGAAACTTGCTCTTGAGTGAAGAGTAGCTAAAGCTAATGGAAGAAATGAGATAAAAGTGCTGAACAGAAAATTTCAAAGAGCAGCTCAAGAAGACAAAGTATTATAATGAAATGTACAAATACCCAGAATTAGAAAACCAAAAGTGAAGAACATGCTTAGCATTTCTTAAGCTGAAAGAACTGAACAAAAAATTCAAGCCTTGAGTTGCAATATTGCAGGATTCTGTGTGCAAAATATTGAATGATGCAGGAAGCATCAAAAGAAGGTGGAAAGAATACACAGACTCATTGTACCAAAGAGAACTGGTGGATGTCCAACTATTTCAGGAAGTAGCATATGATTAAGAACCCATGGTATTTAAGGAAGAAGTCCAAGCTGCACCGAGGAATTGGCAAAACAAAAAAAACAAGGCTCCAGGAATTGACAGAATACTCATTGAGATGTTTCAAGAAACAGATGCAGCACTGGAGGTGCTTACTCATTTATGCCAAGAAATTCAGCTACCTGGCCAACTGACTGGAAGAGATAAGTATTTGTGTCCATTCCAAAGAAAGGTAACCCAACAGAATGTGGAAATTATCGAACAATATTGATATCACACACAAATAAAATTTTGCTGAAGATAATTTAAAAACTGATTGTAGCAGTGTATTGACAAACAGGGAACTTTCAGAAATTCAAGCTGGATTCAGAAGAATGGAATGAGGGATATCATTGCTGATGTCAGATGGATCTTGGTGGAAAGCAAAGTATATTAGAAACATGTTTACCTGTGTTTTATTGGCTATTCAAAGGTACTTGACTGTGTGGATCATAACAAATTATGGAAACATTGTAAGTAATGGGAATTCCAGAACACTTAATTGTGCTCATGAGGAACCTGTACATAGACCAAGAGGCTGTCATTTGAACAGAACAAGGGGATTCTGCATGATTTAAATTCAGAAAGGGGTTGTCAGTGTCAGGATTGTATCCTTTCACCATACTTATTCAATCTGTATGCTGAGCAAATAATCCAAAAAGCTGGACTATATGAAGAAGAATACTAGGACTGGAGGAAGATTCATTAACAACCTGTGATGTGCAGATAATTCAACCTTGCTTACTGAAAGTGAAGATGACTCAAGCATTTACTGATGAAGATCAAAGACTGCAATCTTCAGTATGGTTTACACCTCAACATAAAGAAAACAAAAATCCTCACAACTGGACCAATAAGCAACATCACGATTAATGGAGAAAAGATTGAAGTTGTCAGGGATCTTTTACTTGGATCCACAATCAACATCTGTGGAAGGAGCAGTTAAGAAATCAGACATAGTATTGCACTGGGTAAATCTGCTGCAAAAGACCTCTTTAAAGTGTAAAGAAGCAAAGATGTCACTTTGAATACTGAGATGTGCCCAACCCAAGGCATGGTATTTTCAGTCTCCTCATAGTCATGTGAAAGCTGGACAATGAATAAGGAAGACCAAATAATTGATGTCTTTGATTTGTGGTGTTGACAAAGAATACTGAAAATAGTATGGACTGCCAAAAGAAGGAACAAATCTGTCCTAGAAGTACAGCCAGAATGCTCCTTGGAAGTGAGAATGGCCAGACTTTGTCTTACCTACTTTGGTCATGTTGTCATAAGGGACCATTCCCTGGATAAAGATATCATTCTTGGAAAGATAGAGGGTCAGTGAAAAAGGGGAAGACCCTCAACAAGATGGATTGACACAGTGGCTGCAACGATAGGCTCAAGTACAGCAAGGATTGTGAGGATGGTACACGACTGGGCAGTGTTTTGTTCTGTTGTATGTAGGGTTGCTATGAGTCAGAGCAGACTCGATGGCACCTAAAAACAACAATATGTAAAAACACCTAAAAAAAAAAAAAAACAATACTCAAAATAATAAAAACACCAGGTTACTGGTCTGATAGAGACTGGTGGATCCCTGAGACTATGGCCCTTAGTCACCCATCAAGCCTGGAACTGAACTCACCCCTGTGGCTCAACTTTCAGCCAAACAGTAGGCAGGCGTGTAAGGTGAACACTAACACCTGGGAGGTTCGCACTTCATAGAACAACCAAGCATATGAAGTCAAAGGGCAGCATTTGTCCAGGGATAAAGCTCAGAAGGCAGGAAGGGATGTGAAAGAAGGATGAATGGAAATGGGAAACACAGGGAGGAAGTGGGAAGAGTGCTGTTACCTTGTGAGGATTGCAATCAATGTCATGAACAAAATGTGCATGAATTGTTGAATAGAAAACCCTCCTTGGGTTTCTGAGGAGATATCACTACAGAAGTAGATTGCCCCATTTTCTTCCGAGGAGTGGCTGGTGGGCTTGAACCGCCAGCCTTCTGGTTAGCAGTCAAATGCCCCTACTTGTAAGAGGGGGAAGAAAACAATTGCCCTCAAGTGCATTAAAATTCATGACGACCCCACATGTATTAGTGTAGGACTGTGTTCCATAGGGTTTTCAGTAGCTGATTATTCAGAGGTAAATCACCAGATCTTTCTTCCAAAGCATCTCTGTGTAGATTCAAACCTCCAAACTTTCGGTTAGCAGCCAAGCACATTAATCTTTTACACCACCCGTGGACTCCATGCCTCTAAGCATACACACAAAAAATGGCAGCCAGCCTCTCAGGATCTGTGTTGTTATTGTTCATTTGTTTAAATTGAGAGACATTGTTTTTAGGCCTCCTCCACCCCTTGTCCTTTTAATCTGGAAGTGTCTGTGTTCTTTCCTTCCCTCTTCTCTTTTCCCTTCAGTGGGCTGGATGATCTATTGGTGATCATGGCACATTTCTCCCTTGTCCTGAGCTTCTGATAATTAAAAAGGTGGTTGCTAAGAGATGTTGGGGCACACTGGTGACTGGTGGTATACTGCAGTCTTGTCTTTTCTCATACTTTTTCAGCCTCACTCCATCTCCACCACAACCACTTCTCTTTTCCATCTCCCATGTTCAGGTTCTGAAAAAACTTGAAGAAACTGATAAATCTGGATGGCTACCCCCAACCGCAGGGTGGTCTCCAGACCTCAGAGACCTGGCTGGGGGCCAAAAGGAAGCAGGTCCCTCCTGGGCAGCCTGGAGTTGAAGGAGACCCAGGAGCAGACACCAAGCCAGTTGGCCATGCTGAGGAAGGCGCAGGAATTCTTCCAGACCTGTGATGCAGAGGGCAAGGGCTTCATCGCCAGGAGAGACATGCAGGTAAGAGAGGCCCTACTGGGGTGCCCAAATGGCATGGGTCTCCCTATCTTAGGGGTTGCCACATTGGCAAGCAAAAAGAGCATAAATTCTGTCCTAGAAGAAGATGTCATGCCAAACTACTTGGAGCAAGATTTCTTGGGTTCATTCCTTTTTCTGGCCTTTACCTACTGTCAGACTCAGTTATTTCCGCTCATCAACTCAGAAACTCCCCAGGATTATGGAAACAGTGATAGTAACACTATACCAATTTATTACTTTGTAATGAAGTTCTGAGTTATGATGAAGTCGTTCCAGCAAGGTGTTGTGTATCCCTTAGAAATAGGAACAGTGTCAGGTCCTCACCTGGGGCAACAACCTGGGAGAAAGACATGTCTAGAAGTCATCTTATCTGTTTCTCACCCTCAAGCCGATCACACTTAGCCCCTTCTTAAGCACTTCCAGAGAAAGAGAGAGTGCAGCGCCTCAGTGCACACTGTTGTCTAGTGCAGGCATTGATGAACTTTTCTGTAGGGGCCAGAGAATAAATATTTAGGCTTTGTGGGTCATCTGGTCTCTGTCTGCAATTACTCATCTCTGCTGTTGTAGCACAAACACAGCCATAGACAATATGTAAACGAGTGAGTGTGGCTGTGTTCCAATAAAACTTTATCCATAGACCCTAAAATTGGAATTTCCTATAATGTTCATGTATCATCATGAAATTCTTCTTCTTTTACTATTTTTTTTTTTCAAATGGTAAAAACCATTTTTAGCTCACTGGCAATACAAAAACAATCAGCGGATGGATTTGTCTGGGAATGTAGTGCCCCCTGGTCTAGTGCTTTTCCATAGTTAGTGTCAGAAATTCTTCTCAAAGTCCCTGTGTGGTGCAAATGGTTTGTGCTTGGCTGGTAACCAAAAAATTGGTGGTTTTAACCCACCCAGTGGTATTGTGGAAGAAACAGCCTTGGTGATTTTCTTCCCTAAAGATTGCAGACAAGAAAACCCTATGGAGCATGTCTACCCTGTAACACATGGGGGCTTTTAAGTCACAAACTAACAAAAACCAAAACCCAAAGCAACAACTACAAAAATTTGTTTCTCAGTGTCTCTGCATAAGTCATAAGCATAACTTACACTACAGGCATGATTTTACTCTAATGTGAAATATGTAGTATGAATAAATAAAACACAGGCTCTTTTTCCCAACTTTTTCATCACTCACATTATCAAGAGTGTTTTTGGAAGTGATGCATGCTTGTGCTGTTCAGAAGAAAACCTGAAATAGGTTTTTTTTTTTTTTAAGGTCTAGATTTTTAGAGTACAGTAGAGTTGAGCTAGAGGCAGTCATTTGAACAGAACAAGGGGATACTGCATGGTTTAAAATCAAGAAAGTATGCATCAGGGTTGTATCATTTCACTATACTTATTCAGCTTATATGCTGAGCAAATAATCTGCAAAAGTGGACTATGTGAAGAACACAGCATTAAGATTGGAGGAAGACACATTAACAACCTTCAATATGTAGATGACATAACTCTGCTTGCTAAAAGTGAAGAAGACTGGAAAAAGTCCTTACTGGTGAAGATCAAAGACTTAACTGTGGATTATACTTCAACGTAAAGAAAACAAAAATCCTCACAACTGGACCAGTAAGTAACATCATGGTAGATGGAGAAGAGATTGAAGTTGTCAAGGATTTCATTTTATTTGGATCCATAATCAATGCCTATGGAAGCAGCAGTCAGGAGATCAAAGGACATATTGCATTGGGCATATCTGCTGCAAAAGACCTCTTTAAAGTGTTAAAGAGCAAAGATGTCGCTTTGAAAACTAAAGTGTGCCTGACCCAAGCCACAGTATTTTCAGTAACCTCATATGCATGTGAGAGCTGGAGAAGGAATATGGAAGTCTGCAGAAGAATTGATGCATTTCAATTTTGATGTTTGTGAAAAATACTGAATTTACCATGGACAGCCAGAAGAGCAAACAAAATCTGTCCTGGAAGAACTGCAGCCAGAATGCTCCTTGGAAGCAAGAACAGCCAGACTTTGTCTCACTTACTTTGGTTATATTGTCAGAAGGTGCCAGTCCCTGGAAAAGGATATCATACATGGTAAAGTAGAGGGTCAGTGAAAAAGGAGAAGACTCTCAACAAGATGGATTGACACAGAGGGTATGCTGATGGGCTCAAGCATAGCAAGGATTGTGAGGATGGCACAGGACTGGGCAGTGTTTCGTTCTGTTGTACGTAGGTTGCTATGAGTTGGAGCCAACTTGACAGCACCTAACAAAAACAACAAAGTTGAGCTATGAAATTGAGACCGCAAACAGTATCAGTCCTACCTCTGCTTATACACATGAACTACAAGTCTTGGAGGTGGAGAAATGGGTCTTGGGACCTGGGTGAAATGTGGCTGCTTCTTTCTGTCCCTCATCCCAGAGGGTGGTGTTTTCCTGCCTCTCCTAGAGCTTCTCCATCATCTGATCATTGAAGGAATTGAGGAAAAAGACCTGGGGAGCAGCACTAGCTCAGCCAGCAAGTGGGCTCAATTAAGTAATTGATCTCCAGTAAATTTCTGTCTCTGAAACTCACTCATAAAGTCTCACTCCACATGGAAAACCACATTCAACATGTCCTGAAGAAACCACTGACAACTCATCCCTCTGTGGACTTTGCAGGTCTGCAGTAGTGGAGGGTGGCGGTAGTAGTTTTTAATGGCACGTGTAAATTTTCATTATACCCTCTAGAAACAAAGAAAAGAAATTAACATTTATTGAGGGTCAACTGTGGACCACACGCACTTTATATATATCCATGTATGTATGTATCCTTGATTAACCCTTATTCAACCCCACTCTTTAATGAAGGGGAAAAGAAACATGGTAAATTTAAACTGTGGAGTATAAGTTACTAACAAAAAGTGTCCCAGAGATCTCAGCTCAGCTGTATTCCTCCTCAGCCTTCTCCCTCTGTTCCCCCTCCTAATTCAGGCAGGAGGGAAAGGGACTGAACAACCCACCACGCGGTTACTGATGCCTCCACAGCAATTGTCTGCCACCAGTTTTCTGAAGTTTTTGTGTACCTATGAACAGTAAAGTACTGAAAATTTTTAATTCTTTCAGGCTCTGAAAGTGCTGCTGGGAAAGAGAAAGAAGCACATCATTTGAGCTCCTGGTCACTTTCACTGGTCACGTCTGGAGGAATATGGCCTGGGGAGAGATACATGAAGAAAAACAAGGCTCTCTTAGCTTAGTTTAGTCAATTCAGGGTTCCCCATAGAAAGCCTACATGCTCCATGGTGTTCCTGGAGCAGATTCTACAGACACCTGGTTGATGGCTTATCACTCCTACACTTGGCTACTTTGCAGGTGTGGTCACCACCCTTGGGTTGTTGTCCAGTTCCCTGGTGGATGTGGCAGCCTCCAACTTTTACAGTTCTGGCCCTCAGCACAGCCTCATGGGAACTAGGAGGAGAAGAGCTCAGAAAGTTTTGTGCACACAAAAATTCAGCAACCAGGAAAGCAGATACTTTAAAGCAGATACTGGTTTTCTGGAAGGAGAGTCTGTGGTCAAATGGGCAGGAGAACACAGAGGGCTGAAAGAGCTGGGTGCAGAAACGGGGTTGGAAGAAAGGCATGGGGAGCTCACGATCCTTTTGAAAAAAGAAATGAGAATGTTAAACTCCTCTCCTGGTGCTCTTTCTTTTTTCCCTTCTCCTTTAAGAGGGGGAGAAATATGTGGAACAAAATCCAAAATTCTAAAAAGCATGAGGTTTACTGTTCTGATAGAGACTGGTGGAACCCCAAGACTGTGTTCCTTAGTCATACTTCAAACCTGGAACTTAACTCACCCCCATAACTCAACTTTTAGCCAAACAATAGACAGTCCTATAAGGTGAACGTTAACATCAGGAAGATACACACTCCTTAGAACAAACAACTGTTTAACATCAAAAGGGCAGCATTTGCCTAAGGATAAAGCTTAGAAAGCAGGAAGGGATAGGAAAGAAGGATGAAGGGAAATGGTAACCACAAGGAGTAAGTGGGAAGAGTGCTGTTACATTGTGGGGACTGGAATTAATGTCACAAAACAAAATATGTATGGACTGTTGAATAGAAAACCAATTTACTCTATAAAATTTCACTCAAAACACAATAAAAAAAAAAGTTAAGAAAAACAAATCTATTTGCATAGGGTGAGATTGACTTCCCAAGCATCCAGTAGTGAGAGAAGACTACCACCAACCATCCCAACCTGATATAGCAGGAACCACAGAACAAATGGATCAGGGTCCAGAAATTTCTTTTCATTTGGGGTCCCTAGAGAGACCTGGGAGAAAACTCTGGAGCAACTCATGTTGAACTGCACCGAAGGTCACATGCAAGCTGGCATGTGCTCAGGCTCCAAGTGTCAACATCTGTTACAGGAACAACAGTGATGGACACTGTCCTGCAGAGACAGAGTCTAGAGAGTGATTCAGAGGATCTCGGCCTCACTGGGGACCCATCAGACCTCATACTATCCTCAACAAGGAACCTCTGTGGGTTCCATAGTGGCCACTCCAGGCAGAATCAGGGAAGATACTGCTTTGCAGAATTGAGTTTGGTGCTGGACTCTGGAGTAGCAGAGACTTGGGGCTGAAGGGCTGAGTGAAAGTCAGTTCTGCCTCGGAAAGTCAGTCATGTGTCCGAGAGCATGAAAAGGCCGGGCTGGAGAAGGCATAAAGGGACTCATTAAGCTGTGAGAGGGAGGTGGGGACAGGATGAGCAGGTGATCTCTGTGAAGAAACCTGTTGTTAAGTGCCATTGCCAGGTCTTTCTCCAACAGAGCTGCTGGGTGTTGTTCAAACCACCAACATATTGTTTAACAGGCAAGCTCTTAACTACTGTACCACCAGAGCTTCTAAACCATAAAAATAAACCCACTCCCATCAAATTGATTCCAACTCATAGTGAACCTATAGGACAGAGCAGAACTATAAGGCTTCCAAGGCTGTTATCTTTACAGAAGCAGACT